CTTATTAATTTTATTTGAAATTAATAGCTGTACGAATACTTCTTACGCTGTACATTTTTCTTAACGTCTTAATCGTGGATATACAGGAACCGATTCAAAATAAAGCTTCATACATATTTATTTTCTTAATAAATTTCAAGCGAGGAAATAATTAATCAACATTCCTAGATATTTTTAATGTTAACCTCTTCTTTCCTTTCTTATTAATTTTCTTTCAAATTGATGTCTGTACGAATACTTCTTACGCTGTACATTTTTCTTGACGTTTAAATCGTGGATGGATATTCAGAATACAGAAAAGGTCGCGGCAAAGTCGTTCGCCCTATTCGAGGCACGGCGTCTGGTTGTGTGCGCCCTAACCGTCGACAGTTGGAAACGTCCTTGTTTTGTAGTGGGGCGCGTTCATCTCGGGAGCCAAGCTTCGCCCTGAACGCCTCTATTGTGATGTTTCGTTCGACTCGACCCCGTAGCGGTCGCGCGGCGTGTTGGAGAGCGCTGGGGTAAAACGAAGCTCGTTCCGAGGGCGTACCGAGCATTCGGTAATTGAATGCAGAGAATTAAACAATCGGTCGGGAGTAGAAGTCTCTCCGTGCGTACGGGAGGCTAATGGGCGTATGCCAGTTTCACCGATAGACCTCCTCGATGGAACTATTAGTCATTACTTCCTGCTGGGAGAACGCTATCGGCCAGAGTGATGAATCACGTGGCTATAAACAGATCTTCGACTTTATAATTGTAGTTTAATGAATGCGGCTCGGGTCGCGTTGGGACCTCACCTGCCCGACAGCCTTGGCATTGCTACATTGCTACGTTCTATTCGAATAATGGGTAACTAGTGTTCCAAATAAATATCTCGTTATAGATACGGTCACTGTAAGAAGTATTCGTACGGCAACCAATTTAAAATCGAATTAATAAGAAAAGAAACAAGAGACCAATCCTTTTCGAGGTCGGTTAAAAATTGTACCTAAATAGGAATTTATTTTATTCTGCAAATATTATAACGTGAACTTTATCTCGGTTCCTGTACGAATACTTGTTACTAACATTAAACGTTAATTTGAAACTTTAATTTACGCGAATTCTACTCTAAAAATATGCAGGAATGTTGGTCAATTATTTCTTTCTCTAAAATTTATTAATAAAATAAATAGGAGAAGTATTATTTTGAATTGGTTTCTGTGCGAATAGTTATTACACTGACTGTACACGAATAACCTTACATGTGTTCTTACGTTCAAAGCAAAAATTGTCATGCATTAAATAACTACCCTGTTTCGATGAAGTTTGAACATATCACACCAGCATCGCGACTCAAAGCGTAAATTCAATGAAGCGCATGCGTGAGTTTTCGTAACAGCGATCTCTCTCTCTCTCTCTCTCTCTCTCTCTCTCTCTCTCGGGGGTGTTTACATGGGCGATAATAATTCTTTCAAAGTTCCCCCGATCGACAGCCGTCGAATGCGCACACAATATCAGAAAGAAAATTGCTTCGACCGACATCTGTCCTACGCGAGTATCAAGCACGAGAGTCAATCAATTCGAATCGAAAGCATTTAATGCGATTTCCCCTGACACTGATTGATGGAGAATCAACGGATGACTCGCTCTGAGCTATGTTAATTATTTGAAATGGCTTTTACGCCGCGACTTCCTTCCCATGCGTTCCGCTCGCTTACCTGACACTCGTAAAAATGCATTTTCACTCTATAAAAACGCACGGGAATTTTCTTTTTTTTTTTTTTTTTATACCGTTATTATTCTTCGAATTTCGCGATGAAAATTTCCGTTTTTCACGTGTAATTTTTATTTATCTCGCGATGTAGCTTGCGCGCGTGTTGGTTTCTTTGATTTTCGGCGACGACACTGTTCGAAATTAATTAGGAAATTACCCGATAAGAGATATCGGATCGCGGAGGTAAATTTATACCTTATCTTATTCGAACGACTCGATTATTTTTATAGAAATATAACAAGTTTACGGAGCTCTGGGTCGAAGTATAAATTCTATACTTTCGAGCAGTAAAAATACGAGCTTTCCGATTGTTTCGAACACCTTTCGAAAATATCCAACAATCATTTTTATAGAAATATAACAAGTTTACGGAGCTCTGGGTCGAAGTATAAATTCTATACTTTCGAGCAGTAAAAATACGAGCTTTCCGACTGTTTCGAACACCTTTCGAAAATATCCAACGACTCTTGCAGAATATTATCAAATGAAAAAATTCCGAATCGCTTCATTCTAAGAAGTGTCACGAAAATCCAATCCTTTTACAAATCCTTCTCTTCCCACGTCAAATTTTTGAATGGCAGTATGTGGAACACAGTATTATTTTTCACGTGTCTCCGTTCTTCCCCTGCCACTTTTTTTTTTTTTCCGCTCGTCAAACGATGTTGGGCGTAATTACGAGCACATACGCGCGTACAGCTGGCAATAAAGTTAAGCGGTTCGTTAAAGAGCCCGGGGAGCATAAAAGTTTTAGCATAACGTGCTGATTGTCGAGTTAGATGTATCGGAAAAGCTCCGACCTTGCATGCGCCGTTATCGTGTTTGCGTCATAATATTTTCTCGCTACCAACACACGAAGCACAGAAATCGCTTTGAATGTCGGTGGTGTCCTTTGTCCCCTCGCACCAGCTGGTCTCGGCTATCGTTTTGCGCACCGTTGATACATTTGTATGCGTGCTCGTTCGAGCCTCTTCGCAAGTTCGTATCGGTCAGTCGTACAAACGCTATCTTGAAATAATAACACCTGTTCCTTCGGAAGGATGTCGATCCTCCGTGAATTCGAAGATCTCTCGTCCGTTCGTTTCGATGAATTCGATATTTAAATAAAAATAATTTCAAAATTTCATAGAGGTAAACAGACGCGGTTTCGATATCGACGTGTTTTATATTTTATTCGCGTGGTGTTTGTTCCCGTGATTTTTTAATCGTTTGCAACACAAACGGTGTCGGAATTTTCAGGTATTTAAAATCTTTCGGGATACGAACGTGTTTCCTTTCTGCGGTAGTATCTTTATTACTATGCAGTTGTTATTATTAGCAGCATGTTTTTTTTTTTTTTTTTGAGATTATGCGGTTACGGGAACGAAATCTCGAAGAGGGTCATCTTGTTTGACCGAAACGTTGATATCAGTGTTACGTTACTGTTACGGCTAACCGTTGACACGAATACCGCTAACTCGTTCTTGTGAGCAAAAAAACAAATTTTACTTTACTGTTATCTATACCACTTCGAACATTGCTGAGATTGTGATTCAGCCTTTATCGATCCTTTCCTTTCTGTACCATATTACAATTTTTTTTTTTTTTTTTTTTTTTTTTTTTTTTTTTTTTTTTTTTTTTTGTTTAACCCAATCGTATTCTATTTATCCAACGAAAACAAGTTAATTTATCTTAAAACAATACGTCGATCCATTACCCCCACCTACGTCTAAAAAATTACGATTCAGTCGCTGTCGGCAGCAACAAGTCAACGTGATATCGTTTCTAAATAGCGCGTTAACGACGGAATTGCGCAACGAACGTGCCCGTCGTCGTCAACAATTTTCACTGGCGAACGTTTTCGAACACGAAAAAGAAAAAATCGTCCATCGACGGGAAAACCGTGCTCCAAGCCATTGTTCGATGACATTTCGACTTAATAACGTGCTCGCGAAAACGTGCATATGTTTGCGTTAATTGTTTCCGCGCTGATCGCGAAAGCAAACAGCGCACCGATAAGTAAACGCGATCGTAACGACACTTAATTATAACGAGCAAATTCATTTAACAGCTGGTATTCGACTAATAGCCGCGACGATTATTTTTAACCGTTTACGGAAACGTGTAATTTAGACTTATCCGTTAATTGTTGGGTGGGACGT